CTGTATTGCTCTTCATTTTGCTGTATGTACTTCTGCTTTGACGTCTGCCCATCTCCTTGTGATTCCTTCTTGGTCTTATCAGTGGACTTGTTTCACAAAGAGCCGACAAACTCAGGAAGACTCTCTCTCTTGTCCAAAAGGGAGTGCTCTTGTCCAACTCTCTGGTCCAGAAGGGAAGTCGTCAGGGGCAGGCTGTGCACTCCATTTTTTACAGGTCAGTTAAACATACGTTAAAGTTAATTATGACTACATATATCTACTGTAAATGGTATCTGTGAGCATTAATTTTACTTGATGTATATGAGAAAGGGAAGAGTGTCATAATAATCTCCAAGTAGTTTCAGATATTATTTTCGGCACGACACCAAAACCGAACTGGAAGTAGTTTCTAAAGGTGTAATTATAATGAATCTAAAAACATAATGGGTTTTTATACTTTCAATTTAAGCTTTCTGTTTAATTTCAAGTGTTCCTTATGCTTTTCTATAATCAGGTGTCTGTTATTTTCAATATATTGAGTGGTGAAGTTATAAGTATATTTTAAAATTTTCACATTCATTATATAATATGAAATATTTTTAGTATCAGTACATTCTTAAAAATGGACTAAAAGTGAAATAATGAAAGTAATTCCATTGTAAGTGTCAATATAAATTATAAAAGTTAGTATAAGACAATGTCATAAATCCTTTAAAAACTGAATTGAGCACAAATTAATGAAAAGATGTACCAGGTTTTTAAAATTTAAAATGTATCATTATGGGGCTAGTGATGGCTCAGCAGTTAAGAGCTGCTCTTCCAGCAGACCACGGTTTGACCACGGTGAAATATAATATTTCTCCTGCATGGTTAATACCATAGAATGATTGGTCAGAAAAGAACATCTTCCCTGGTTTGGGACTTTTTTCTTTCTTTCTTTCTTTCTTTTTTTTTTTTTTTTAACTTTTAACACACATGAGATGAATACCAAATGGGAAAGGACAGCCTCTTCCATATATGTCACTGGGAAAATGGAATTTCCCAACACACACACACACACACACACACACACACACACACCAAAAAAAAAACCAAAAAGACCCTATACCCTTACAGCACACCTGAATTGAAATGTGTTACAAATACCATGGAAAGCCCAGAACAATCAAATTACCCAAAGAAAATACAGGAGAAGTTGCTGTAACACAAGTAACATGAATGGTATTCGGGGATTAAGTACCAGAATATAATCAAACAAAGCAACCCAGATAAATAACCATACAGAATAATTCACAACAGCAAAGAAATGAAGAAAAGAAATTAAATATAGAATGGAAACATATTATTTATAATTTGATAAATTTCAATCAACTTATTAGTAAAAACACAGACTGATGAAAATATATACTCTGATTTCTCAAAAAGCAGTAAAAAAGATAAACAAATATATAAAATTATGCTTAACATTACAGATTTTTTTATCTAAATGCAAATTGAAACTGTAATGAAACATCACATTACTACTTAAAAGAAATGGCCAATATGAAAAAGACAAGTTACTGCAGTTATCATTGAGGATATGGAGAACAGAGGCATGTACACACATTACATCTGTTAGTGAAAACAGACATAATACAGATCTTAAGAAAAACATTACAATATTTTGCCAAAAATATAAAAAACGAACTAATATATGATTCAGCAATCCAACTTCTGGGCATGGGACCAATGATATAAAACCAACAGGGCAAGGGGATCCCCAAGTCTGTTCCCGAATGAATTACATTTACAATTGCCAGACTAAGAAATAAGGCTGTACGGAAGAGCTGTCCCCACTACTCACCAGCCTTATGGCAGCATGAGCAGGGAGGGATGGCCCCTCTCCGCACACATCGACACCTGAGACAGGTGCAAGAGCTGACCCTGAGGTCATAAGAGCAGGGGAGCTGACCTGGCCCCTCATCTGCTGCAGCACTCAGTACAGTGGCCCCTACATCTCACCTGGGTAGTACGGTAGAGCTGGCCTTGAAGGTGGATGTGTGGGAGAACTGTTCCTCAGGACATGAAAGCAGAACTGGCCCTGCAGCAGCAATGCTCATCTATGCAAGGGGTGAATTAGCCAGGGAAGAGCTGAAGAACTCACCCTGGTGGTGAAGAAGGGGAAGCTGATGGGCTGACCAACTCAGACCCAGAACCAGGGTTATATGTTGGCCTCCCCAACATCCAACCCATCTGAGATCTACTGGAGCACGGTGTGTGTGTGTGTGTGTGTGTGTGTGTGTGTGTGTGTGTGTGTGTGTGTGTGTGTGTGTATGTCCTGTGGACACAGGGATGCAGGATCTCCATGACACAGGCAGCAAACAGGATGCTCAGGAAGAGGCCCACTGAGGGCCCAGAATTGACCATTGACAGTGTAGCAGAGACTGGGGCCTCAAATCAGACCAATGACTCATTTCGATGAATATCTGAACGTAAAAATGTATGGGGATAAAAAGATTTACTGCATGACTCATTGTATTACACCACTACAGCATCCAGGATCAGATTATCTCTT